AGTGAGGCATCTCCCAGGAAGGTCCCTCTTCCCAGATGAACATTCCCTTTGTATAGACTCTACAGCCGCCCGGAATGCTGAGCCCTCCTACAAGCACCTTCATACTGTGTGTGAAGGACAGAGGACAGGCTTTTTGTTTTTTCTTACATTATATGTTAAAATAGAATAACAGTCCTAGCTGTTCACCCTTTCTTTACTCAATGGACTGTTATTTTTCAGAAATACCAAATTTCAGCCCTGGCTGGTGTGGCTCAGTTGGTTGAGCAAAGTCCAGTGCACCGCAACGTTGACAGGTTAGATTCCTGGTCAGGGGACATACTGGGTTTCCTGCTCAATCCCAGGTAGGGTGTGCAGGAGGCAGCTGATCATGTTTTGTTCTCATATCAATGTTTCTACCTCTCCTCCTCTCTATCTAAATACTAATAAAAAAGTCTTTAAGCCTGGTCGGTGTGGCTAAGAGGTCAGAGCGTTGGCCCATGGACTGAGGGGTCTTGAGTTCGATTTCCGAGAAAGGGCACGTACCGGGGTTGCAGGTTTGATCCCCCACCCCAGTCGGGGCACACGTGGGAAGCAACCAATCAACGTGTCTCTCACATCAATGTTTCTCTCTCTCTCTCTCCCCCCTCCCTCCTCCCTTCTACTCTCTAAAAAAATCAATAGAAAAAATATCATCAGGTGAGGATTAACTAAAAAAAAAAAGAAAATCAGTTCCTCTTGCTTAGAAAAAATTTTTAACACCATAGAGGATATTTAAAAAAAGATTTAGTTTCAAGATCTTAACGCACTTCTGGAAGAGCTATTCTAAAACACTGAACAGCGGCAGTATCAGGGTAGATGCATAGTTCCAAGTGAATACTTACGGGGGAATAATATTCAAATGGAGATAGCTATTTGTTAAAAAGCAGATTGTTGCCCTGGCTGGTTTGGCTCAGCGGTTAGAGTGTCAGCCTGCGTACCAGAGAGTCCTGGGTTTGGTTCCTGCTAGGGGCACCTACAAAAAATAAATAAAATTTAAAAAAGCGGACTGTATTCTTGGTCACATTTCATATAGTAAAAATAAGACTGGTTAAAAAGAAAATGTTTCCATATTGTGGGGTGATGTAGAAAGACAGGAACTATAAACTCTAGGTGGGAGGCAAACTGTTACAAGTTCTTTTGAGGACAATTTGGCAATCTCTTATCAAAAATTAAAAGGCACACACCCTTCAATTTAGCAATTCCACCTACAAGATTTTTTTCCAGAGGATGTTTATTAAAGCTGGGGACAATGATACAAGAAAGGGCTGGGAAATAAGCCCTGGCTGGTCCTTTGGCTCACTAAGAAGACTGAGAAAATGGGGCCTTGGGGACAGATTTAGGAAGTTTGCCCAGGATGAACTGCAGCTGCCCTAAGTGCCCTGGCTGCAAGCCTCCTGGGCTCCCTAGACTTCAGGAGACGCACGCCTATGGGACAGTGGGGGTGGCACAGGCGTCTTCCTGGGCCACCTACAAGATTTTTATCCCATGGATATATGGGGGGGGGGGGCGGTTTACAGTTGTTCATATGGAAAATAATACAATAATTAATAAATAATACAAGAATAAACTTGTATGTTTCACATACAACTGTAAACCTACTTAAATTTTTTTTTAAATTACCTTTTTTTTAGAGAGAGAGAAACCTCGATTTTTGTTGTTCCACTTATTTACGCACTCATTCATTGGTTGATTCTTTTTTTTTTTTTTTTTTCTTTATCCTCACCCGAGGACATTTTTCCATTTTTTTGTTCAGATAGAGTGGGAGGGAGAGAGAGGAAGAGAGAGAGAGAGAGAGAGAAACATCGACATGAAAGGGACACATCCAGTGGCTGCCACCCACATGACCAACCAGGGCCGGGGACAAACTGCAACCGAGGTACATGCCCTTAGCGGGAACTGAACCCGGGTCTCTCTGGACTGCAGGCTGATGTTCCAACCGCTGAGCCAAACCGGCCAGGGCTTGGTTGATTCTTATATGTGCCCTGACTGGGATCAAACCCGCAACCTTGGCATATCAGGGATGACACTCTAATTAACTGAGCTACCCAGCCAGGAATGTAAAACTACATTTGCCCCACCCTGAATGTATATACCTGCACAAGACATGCTGAGAAGACTGTTCCTTATAGCACTGTTTATTCCAGCGAAGGGACAGAAACAAACTAAATGTCATTCAGAAGGAACTCGCTAAATAATCACAGATGCATTCTGTGTAGTCATTAAAAATGATTCAAGCCCACCTTGGCCCATTTGGCTCAGCGGTTAGAGGGTCAGCCTGCGAACCAAAGAGTTGCAGGTTCAATTACAGTCGAGGGCACGTACCTCAGTTGTCCTGGCCCTTGTCCAGGTCGTGCAGGAGGCAGCCAATCGATGTGACTCTCTCACATCGATGTTTCTCTCTCTCTCTCCCCCTCCCACTCTATCTGAAGATAAATGGAAAAATATCCTCGGGTGAGAATTTATAATAATAATAATTATTATTATTCAAGCCTGGCTGATGTGGTTCAGTGGTTGAGCATTGACCCATGCACCAAGAGGTCACCGGTTCGATTCCCAGTCAGGGCACATGCCCAGGTTGTGGGCCTGATCCCCGTGGGGGGCATGCAGGAGGCAGCCAACTGATGTTCTCTCTCATCGATGTTTCTCTCTCTCTCTCTCTCCTTCTCTCTGAAATCAATAAAAATATATTAATAAGTAAAAGGCAAGTTACAAATAAAATTTAAAAATACATATATAATATGTATGTGTAGGTATATGCACAAATATATAATATATACACATACTAACATACATACTGGTATACAGGTACACTATTACTGAAAGGGTTTCATGAAAAACTCAAACCATGGTCATTTTGGAGATTTCGGATGGGTGGTAAACTTCACTGTATACCTTTTGATTTTGTTTAATTTTTGCTTTATTATAATGAACCTATATTCAATTTTAATATACAAAATTTTATTTTCTAACAAGCCTGTTATTTTTCTGTAAACACATTAAAGGCTGGAATCCAGATACCAGATATTCAGAGCATTTTCTGCAAGAAGCAAAATTACTTCACTGGAATGGAAGACATAAACCTTGGGACTTCCCTAGTGTTCACAACGACTTATGGGAAAGCTGGTTTGTTCCTGACCCGGCAGGGATATTTAAACTCAATCACCACAATAGCTGATATAACTTGACATTTTAAATATTTTCTGTGTAAAAATGTGGAATTGTCCATTTGTAGCCTACTATAACATAATTCTTTTTGTTGTTGTTAATCCTCACCTGAGGATATTTTTCCACTGATTTCTAATCCTCACCTGAGGAAATTTTTTTCCATTTTTTTTTGTTCAGATAGAGTGGGAGGCGGGGGGAGAGAGAGAGAGAGAGAGAGAGAGAGAGAGATCGACGTGAAAGGGACACATCCAGTGGCTGCCACCCGCACGACCAACCAGGGCGTGGGAAAAACTGCAACCGAGGTACGCGCCCTTAGCAGGAACCGAACCCGGGTCTCTCTGGACTGCAGGCCGACGCTCTAAACGCTGAGCAAAACCGGCCAGGGTGTCCACTGATTTCTAGAGAGAGTGGAAGGGAGGGAGGGAGAGAGAGAGAAAACCATTGACATGAGAGAGACACACTAATTGGTTGGCTCCTGAACGACCGTGACTGGGCCAGGATTGTACCTGCAACCCAGGTACATGCCCTTGACTGAAATCAAACCCCAGACCCTTCAGTCCAGGGGCCAGTGCTCTAACTGCTGTGCCAAACTGGCCAGGGCTAGCATCATTCCTTATGAATAGTATCTTTGATACATATGATCCACAATATAAAAAAACAAAGACTACTATGTGCAAATAGTACCTTGGATCATATAGGCATTGATTTACTTCCTTAAATACAAGTGGTGACTATGGAAATCAAGATTATGTGAGTAAAATATATTTTTGGAAAAAAAGAAACCCATGTAGGTTTCAGCAATCAATTTGCTTATCCCAGTGGCAATTATATCTAAAATTTTTTAAAAAGTCTATGTGGCCCAGCCAGTGTGGCTCAGTGGACTGATCTTTGTCCTATGATCTGAGAGTCTGCTGGTTCGATTCATGGTCAGGGCATGTAACTGGGGTGCCAGCTTGATCCCCAGTAGGGGACATGCAGGAGACAGCCGATCGATGTTTCTCTCTCATTAATGTTTCAATTTCTCTCTCCCCTCCCTTCTTCTCTAGCTAAAAAAAAAAAATCAATAAAAATATGTTAAAAACATTTCTACATGTATTTTTCACATGTAGGTATTTTTTAACAGGTTGCCAATCTTGTGTTTTGTATTACATTTAAAACATGAATGTCTGAAAAAATAAAATACTCATAAATCTTTAATGATTTTCATTATATATAGTATTCTGTATGTTAACTATAATAGAAGGTAAACTGATCTCAGGTTTAAAGGATGAAAGAATACCAGTAAGTCTCACCATAGAAAAGCCTGCAACCTAAGGATAAGCATTCTTAATATTTTTTTATTGTGAAAACCATCAGACTTTCAAATGAGTTTAAAAACTTTTTCAATATTATTTAATGAAAGTCTCATATTGTCATGTATAGGATAAATCAACATTTACTACTCATCTGTCATATTTAATGAAAAACACCATTGTTGTATGCTTGGAAAATCCTGAAACCCATTCTCTAGTGAGTGTCCATAATTTAAAGGGTATTTTCTCCACTTAAATAGAAAAAAAAATCTTATTGTAAGACTACAAATTATTATATACCAGAGCAATACCTAGTTACATGCTTTACAGTCCCATGAAAAAATATTCCATCGTTCCTAGTCCCTGATGCAAGGCACTTCGAAGCACCTGCACAAACACCATGTAAACAGCAGTACAGTACATGATTTAAATAACATGAATGACTTTACACAGCTGGATCTAGACTAAGGGAAAAGTAAAACCCATCACAGCCACAGCTAAACAGCATGGTAAGATTCACAACAAGGATCTGTTTCTCTCGTTATAAAAAAAAACAGGTCATGTAATAATCTTTTAGAAAACAAAAAACACCTGATAAATATGTTCCTATTGAGAAGCATGCTCCTTGGGTATAAGTGATCAGGAGTAAACGCAAATGGCATTTCCAAATACCCAGCTTTGTATCTGCCAGGCCTAGCAGTCTGGGCTATTTGTAGCACCTTGGAAAATACATTAGAAAATCACAAAGGTACATTACTTCAAAGTAACCTTGCCATAAGGTTAACTTAGTACACAGTAACCAGAGTAATGATGTAGAGAAATAATTTTAAAAATTACTAGCTTATTAAACTAGCAAGAAAAATTCTGCCTTATTTATATTAGTACATCTCATGTACATAAAGCACCGATTTAAATAAGATTATCAAACACCTCCAGCATCTTGTTGCTCAGCCTGAAAGTTCATTTCTCATCACTTTCCATGTTACATCCTTAAAGCCAAGGAGGATAAAATTCATACGGTAGTAGATACTGAAAGAGAAATTCAGTTCCTTCTCTATCAAATGTATGTCTTTCAAGTAAAACACAGATGAAGTAACAGAATTTAAAAGGTCTACTGCATTCTCTGGAGCCCACCATCCCAGCAGAATAGTTTCTATTAGAAGCTGAACACACAGGGGTGAGGGCTGCCAAAGCTGGGGTTCAGTGCCCCGTCAGGTAAGGCCAGGTTAGCCTTGCTGCTGGAAGGCCACATTCTACGTCTGTACTAGTAAGCAACCCTCACAAACAACCACCGGTGGTGAAGAGGTCTGACGGTGAACAGGACTCCACTGAGGCTTGATGCACATGAAGATCAACACATCGCCTCCTACCAGCGGTCATTCTTATCATTAGCATGCCCTTCTCAGGCATAACAGGGATAATGGTGAACCTAGGTTTATGCACAGTTACTAATCAAATATAAATATTCAGACTGTTGCATTTTAAAATTACAGATTAAAAGTGACTCCCCCCCAAAAAATCAATATCTTCATAAATGAAAAAGGCTTTATAAAATGCTGGAATGATGGTTAACTCAAATACAAAAACTCATATTCGTACAAAAAACCCCTAAATTTTTCTTTCAAACTACTTAGGTTCATACAGTTGATTCTACCACACAACTGTACTATGATTACATCACCAGAGGAAAACACTACTAAAACACTTCAGTTAGCAAACTGAGGGCCACTTCTTGACAACTGCATTAAAACTGCAGCATTGGAGCAGAGCCGAGAAGCACCGTTCTTAAGCATGGGTTCCTTCCTCCTGTTCTTGCGTCCCACAACGAGTCGTGAAGGAGGGAAGCTGGTCTGGAAACGACTGGCTCATCCACTGCCCATTGGGAACATCACTGAAAGCTGACTCTCCACTGTCAGCTGCTGGGGGGTGGGGGAGGAAGAATGTTAGTTTATTTCACTGAAAAGCTTTAAATGATCAAATTAGGAGATTTTTAACTGTCCAGCGAAGGAGAACTGTTACTGTGAGGCAAACTTCTTGAATACACTAAGTTTCTATTTTCAGATATAGGACTAATAAAACCTCACTTGTTATTCAAGGAGGCAAATGCAACTAAGATGACTTTATTAGAGTTAGAGACAAAGAAAATGAGCTGTAAATTTGCACAGTCAAACATTAAATATTACATTTTCTCTATAAGTCACTAACCAGATTTTATATTATAATTCCCATTCTTTAATAATTTACTCTTTTCAAGCCCCCTCCCCCCCCATTCTGACAAAAGCAAGCCTTTGGAAGAACAAGCAGGGGAACATACTTAGCCCATTTGAAGAGAAGCCGCAAGGCTCACTGCTGCCCGGGTCTGCGCCATAAGCACCACCATATGCTGCTTCATAACCCGGATCATATTTTTCTTCCTTAACAGCCATCTTCTTTGCATCCTCTGTGAGGAGGAGGAAAGGGATTTAAAACTGATTTTGTACAACAATTTTAAAAGACAGCTTTATTCAGAAATCAGGATGAAGAAATCTTTTTCTTGAATGTTCATGTATGCTGAGACATCTTTTGCTATATATAATCTTTTGAACTCTCCCTAACATATACTACACATTAACTCATAAGAACTGTCACAGCCTATAAGGTTTAATTTTAGGTGGGTCACAATGTTTCGTATCTCCTCATTAGCAGGAGAACCAGAGTTAAGACCCTAGTAATAGGAGATTTCAACAGTGACTAATATCCATGATTGGCACACTCTGACTGCAAATACAACTGCTTTCCCTTCTCCTGCTTTTAAATCCACAATAAACTTTCTGTAGTATACAGATACATGAAATGAAAACGAGGAGTGATAATGGTGACACACCTTGGGCAAGCTGTAGGTCAAATGTATATTGAACCTCTTGAACGTCTGTGTTTCGTTCAATGCCTTTCAACTGATCTCTTAAGTCTTTCAGCTTAATGTAGTAATGAACTTTGTCCTGGGCGCGAGGAAACTGGGCACATCTTGCACTGGATGACGGCATCACATAGCAGAGCTGGAATCAAAAACTGACGGTTACAGAAATCCACTTAATCCACTCCTCTTCAGACGAGAAACTTTGTCTTTCTTTGGGCTAATGACTTGATACCACATAGCAATGTATGCAAAATCAATAAAAGTAGTTGTGTTTGAGTTCAAATTTGTAGTATTTACATATTACACAGTTAATAAATAAAAAACATGTTCATCTCTCAATTAAACTGGTTTCTTTTCTTTTCAATCGTAAACATGTGGTTCACAATTGCAAAGGCAGAAAAGGGCATGTGAGTTTCAGCCTTCCCTCCCAGTTCTGTCTCTGCCATCTAACTCTCTTCCCCAAGGGCAGCAAGGTTGCAAGTCTCAGAGGTAGTCCACAATGATGCACTCAAATGTCTGAGTAAATATTCTCCCTCACCTCCCACTTTTTTAAAGGTTATTATTGATTTTTTTAGAGAGAGAGAAATATTGAAGAGAGAGAAGCATCAACATTGATGGCCGCCTCTGGCACATCCCCCACTGGGGATCAAGCCCACAACCCGGGCATGTGCCCTGACAGGGAATTGAACCAGTGACCTCTTGGTACATAGGCCGATGCTCAGTCACTGAGGCACACCGGCTAGGCTCCCTTACGCCTTTTAAAACACACACAAGTGGTCTCACACACGCACACAGCACCCCCGCTCCGCCAATCGCTGACGTTTTCACCCTCTCTCTAATACTGCTCCATTCTCCATCCTGCACCTTGCATCTGAGATAATTCTGTATCAGAGTAAAAAGAGCTTCCATTTTTTAAGTTTATAGTGCTTTTCATATTTATTTAGCCAGAGCCCAACTGTGGGCATTAGGTTGTTTCCAATCTTTTAATATTGTAAGCTGTGAAAAATGTTGTACATGTTTAATTTAGAATATATGTGCATTTGTCTGTTGGATAAATTCCTAAAAGTGGAATAGCGAGGGAGAAAGATATCTGCACTTACCATTTTGGGTGATGGTGACAAACTGTCCTTCACAGAGCATAACAGAATATGTAATAACATATCTCTTATACATAAAAGAGCGAGCCTGCCAGATAATGGAATTTCCAATGACAGTTTTTGAGATTTTTAAATTGGCCTCCTTACCATGTATTACAGAAAAAAACTATTTCCTTACTTCGTTTATTTCCTTATTTCCTTATTTTGCACTGATAGGTAGGTGCAAAAGGGGTTTGTAAGAGAACACTTTCCATTCTCAAAATATTCTTCAATTAAAGTGATCCAGAAATTTGAAAAAGTAGATGTGTTTTTTTCAAAGCTGAATAACCTTATCAGTAACTGAATATTTCATGATTAAAGATGGCGGGTAGGTAAACGCGGTATCGTGTCCTCCCACAACCACATCAAAGTTACAACGAAACTACAGAACCACCATCATTCAAAACCGCCTAAAATCAAGCTGAATGGAAGTCCTACAACTAAGGAATTAAAGCAGCAGCCACATCCAGACTGGTAGGAGGGGCGGAGGGGACGGGCTGGTCCCACAACCACGTGTGGCGAATAAAAATCAGGAGGCTCCTGCGGCTGGGAAGGTCCTTCCTGGGGACTGAGGGGTCCCCGTCCCACACCAGGTGCCCCGCTCAGGGTTCCAGTGCCAGGAAGAGAAGTTCCCATAACTTCTGGCTGGAAAAACCAGCAGGAACTGAGGCTCAGGAAAGCTGAGGCGGCTGGAGCCCCAGGCAGCTCCTTAAAGGGCCCGCGCACGGACTTAGCAGACTCTCTCCCTCTAAGCTTGGAGGGGAGGCAGCTTGAGGGGCGCCAGAGACATCCAGGGAAGAACTGAGCTATTTGGCACTGGAGCGAAGGCTGGAGAGGGGGCTTTCTCCGGGACAGACGTGCTGTCGGAGGCCTTTGTTCCTTTGGTGAGCCCTTCCCTGGGGCGGCAGACAGTCTCCATACCTGGGACTCCAGCAACCTGGCTCACACTGGTAGCCCCGCCCTGCTGACTCCCTGAGGCCCCGCCCCGCGCCACACAACTTTCAAGCCAACCCAAGCTGTTGCCACTTGCTTAACCATAGGATTGGCCTGTCTTGGATCCTGCTTCAGGTTTTTCCTAAATTCTTTCAAACAAGCAGCATCGGGTCTCAGCGAGCCCCATACCTCTCATTAAGTAATACACTGAAACAAACACAGGGAGGCAGCCAAAATGAGGATACAAAGAAACAGGTCCCAAATGAAAGAACAGAACAAAACCCCAATAAAAGAACTAAGCGAAAGGGAGATAAGCAACCTAACAGATACTGAGTTCAAAATACTGCTTATAAGGATGCTCAATGAACTTAGTGAGAACCTCAGTGAATTTAGGGAAGGCCTCAAGAGCATAAAAAAGGACCAGTTAGAAATCATGGATACACAGTTAGAATTGAAGGAGGCATTAACTGAAATAAAGAATAATTTACACAGCTTCAATAATAGAGTACGTAAATCCAAGGAGCAAACCATCGATTTGGAATATAAGGAAGCAAAAAATCCCCAATCAGAACAGCAAAAAGAAAAAAGAATCCAAAAAAAATAAAGATAGTGTAAGGAGCCTCTAGGACAACTTCAAGCGTGCCAACATTCGCATCTTGGGGGTGCCGGAAGGAGAAGAGAGAGAACAAGAAATTGAAAACCTGTTTGAAACAATAATGGCAGAAAATTTTCCTAACTTGGTGAAGGAAACAGACATACAAGTCCAGGAAGCACAGAGAGTCCCAAACAAGATGAACCCCAAGAGGCCCACACCAAGACACATCATCATCAAAATGCAAAAGGTTCAAGACAAAGAGAGAATCTTAAAAGCAGCAAGAGAAAGGCAGCTAGTTACCTACAAGGGAGTTCCCATTAGGCTGTCAGCTGATTTCTCAAAAGAAACTTTGCAGGCCAGAAGGGAGTGGCAAGAAATATTCAGAGTGATGAAAACCAAGAACCTACAACCAAGATTATTCTATCCTGCAAAGCTGTCATTTAGAATTGATGGACATATAAAAACTTTCCCAGACAAGAAAAAGTTAAAGGAGTTCATCACTACCAAACCGTTATTATATGAAGTGATGAAGGGTCTCTTTTTGAAGAAAAAGATAAAATGTTTGAACAAACAAAATGGCAATGAATACATATCTATCAACAATGGAATCTACAAACAAAATGAACAGGTAGAACAGAAACATTCTCAGAGATACAGAGAACATTTTGTTGGTTGCCAGTTGGGAGGGGGGTTGGGGGAATGGGTGAAAAAGGTGAAGGGATTAAGAAGCACAAATTCATTGCTAGACTGACAAACCTCAAAGGGAAAGGGGTTGGGGGGGTGGGAAGAAACAAACCAAAGAACTTATCTGCATAACCAATGGACACAGACAATAGTGTGGGAAAAGGTGGGAGGGGGGCAGGAGTGGGGAGGAGGGGGTCAATGGGGGAAAAATGTGGAACATCTGTAATACATTTTACATCCAACAATAAAGATTTGAAAGAAAAAAAAAGAAATGTTAAAAATAGATGTAGTCACAGCTCATTTTAAGAGCTGAAACTTCCTGCTGTGATATGATTTAAAATTCACTTACTACTGCACCGCTACGACCACATATCCACGCCACTCATACACCTCGGCCTCATCTGGCGTTTAAGGGACAACAATGCAGAACTCCAATCACATTTTTATAAGAAGTTAAAAACTGAAGCAATTTAAAAAGGAGAAGTACAAATATATGTAGGTGGCAGAAACTTTATTCTAAGGTGTCCACAAAAAACTGTCAGCACACTGGCTTCTCCATGATTTAAAATGCTATCTATAACACAGGGGTCTGCGCATGGATACTGTTTTTTTTAAAAGTTGTAAACAAAACTTAAAACTATTGCCCTGGCCACTGTGGCTCAGTTGGTTGAGCACTGTCCTGTGCACCAAAAGGTCATGGGTTTGATTCCCAGTCAGGGTACATGCCCAGGTTGCGGGTTTGGTCCCCAGTCGGGGTGTGTGTGGAAGACAACCGATTGATGTTTCTCTCTCTCTCCTTCCTCTCTCTAAAACCAATAAAAACATATTTTTATTTTTTATCCTCACCCAAGGACATTTTTGCATGTATCTTCAGATAGAGCAGGAGGGAGAGAGGGAGGAAGACAGAGAGAGAAACATCAATGTGAAAGGGACACATCGAGTGGCTGCCTCCCGCACGACCCAACCAGGGCCAGGGACAAACTGCAACCGAGGTACGCGCCCTTAGCGGAACCGAACCCAGGTCTCTCTGGACCACAGGCCGACGCTCTAACTGCTGAGCCAAACTGGCCAGGGCAAATGTTTCTTTCTTTTTTTTTTATCCTCACCCGAGGACGTTTTTCCATTTTTTATTCAGATAGAGCGGGAAGGAGAGAGAGGAAGAGAGAGAAACATCGATATGAAAGGGACACATCGAGTGGCCGCCACCCACATGACCCAACCAGGGCTGGGGACAAACTGCAGCCAAGGTACATGCCCTTAGCGGGAACCGAACCTGGGTCTCTATGGACCGCAGGCTGACGCTCTAAACGCTAAGCCAAACTGGCCAGGGCCAAATGTTTCTTTTTCTAATAAAACTATATCAGTATCTAATTAATTTATTTATAACTTTAGTTCAAGTTGATATAGTGTGTTTATATACAGTGTGTTTCTTTTCATGGCATAAATCAAAATGGATAGAACAAATAAAAAAGGCAAGCTAGCTAGATAATAATTCACATTTAGCTGATTTACAAATGTAACTTTAAGGACTTACAGTTTCTGTGTCTGGGATCTTATGGGGTTGCAGTCCAAATTCTAAGTTCTTAACCTTTACTCCAAAAACTTCTTTACTAAAAATTTCATAAATACCTAAAATGAAATACAAACATATTTACATTGCCCATAATGTTAGCAAAGAAAAAAGATAAAATTTAAAAGCAAATCTTACATTTTCCATTAAACACTGCTATTCGTGGCTGATATTTCTGTAATTTCTGCACTAGAATACGTCCTCCTTCACGAAATTCTTTACTAAAATTAAATTAAAAAGTCATCAAAATATAAGTATGGCGGTATTTATAATTTGCTAAATTAAGAGAGCTTTCAATGAAAGATCAATTCACATATGTTTGTTACACTTAGCTTGCACTAGACACATATGGTATTCCTAGAGTATACAAGGCACCAGCATGGTTGAGGTTCTAGCCTATAAAAATAAATGCTATATAATTACCTGGAAAGATCCTTGCTGCCTGGTGTTGTTCTTTCCACCATATTGGTAAATCCAATACCATACTTCCCTGGTAAAGTGTGATCATCCATATGGTTCAGTTGGACCTCACTCAGTCCTGACATAAACAGACACTTCCCTATAACAAAAAAGAGTATAATTCATTTCCATAGAAGGTCAAAGGTTTCTGCCCTACAGATTGATGTAGTAGTCTATTTTTTAAAATTGTTCTGCTCTTTTATTTATTTATTTTTATTGTTGACAGTATTACAGATGTCCTCCGTTTCCCCCCAACTACCTCCCCTCCACCCAGCCCCGTCCCACCCCAGGCCTTTACCACACTATTGTCTGTGTCCATGGGCTATGTATAGATGCATATATATTCTTTGATTAATCTCTTTCAATCGCCTCCACCCCCCTCTCCCCTGAGATCTGTCAGTCTATATGCTATTCTTGAAATTAAAAAAACAACCGATTATAACATAGGTCAAAAACCATATCAAGCAATTACTATATGCTAGGTACTATGCTAAGCTCTTTGCAAGTATTATCTCATTTAATCATAATTATCTTAAGAGATATTACTAATATTCACTTTCATAGGGAGGTTAAAGTAAATGCCTGTCGAGAATACACAGCTAGGTAGTGTAGAAAACTTTAAAAACAGTTCTCCTTTCTAATAATTGGTGCTATCACCATCTGCCCCAGAATATGTCCAACAGATAAACATATACTGATGGACTCAGGACATTCAAACACCTTAACAGTGGAGAAAATTAAAAGTTCAAAATTCGCGCCCTGGCCAGTTTGGCTCAGCGGTTAAAGCGTCGGCCTGCGGTCCGGAGAGACCCGGGTTCGGTTCCCACTAAGGGCATGTACCTCGGTTGCAGTTTGTCCCCAGCCCTGGTTGGTCGTGCGGGTGGCAGCCACTCGATGTGTCCCTTTCACATCGATGTTTCTCTCTCTCTCTCTCTCCCTCCTGCTCTATCTGAACAAAGAATGAAAAAGTGTCCTTGGGTGAGGATAAAAAAAAAAAAAGTTCAAAATTCGCTAGAAAAAAAATTTTAAATAATGGAGAGAATATACTATCCATTCCAAAAACACATTACTATCATTTGCCCTAATGTTTTTCATGTTACTCTTAGATAATTAACTGGTATTTCCTGAGGGCCTACTGCATGCCTTGTTCTATTAAGTGGTGCTGTAAGACGACTTCTATATACAACGATACAACAGTGGTTATACTTGGTTTTAAAGCTCACTCTACAAGTATGAAGGTCTTTAATCCTATTTCCTGCTAGAGAATGCCTCCAATCACAGCACTTCTTAACCTGATGGCCAATCACTGAGCATTTCGTCGCTCCTGGGAAACATGATCAGCAGAAATCAGGCAAGGTCAGTGCTCTGGCTGCACTAGCAAAATGATGTACTATTGCTGCTACATCTGTAGATGACAACTAAAAAAAAACCCTTAAAAAGTAGTAAAACTCATTTAAAACAATTCTAACAAAAGAGGAAGGACTCCTTTTCATGCCTCTCCACTCTCATAAGCCAAAATGCTAACAGTGACATGTCATTCCAAACTTTGTGTATGTACACATAGAAAATATGAACATTTAAAATACAATCTCTCTTATTAAAAACATAATTTGGTTTAAAAAAACAACAAATCCTGACCTGGCCAGTTTGCTCAGTGGTTAGAGCATCAGCCCTCAGACCGAAGAGTCTCGGTTTCCATTCCGGTCAAGGGGCACGAACCTTGGTTGCAGTTAGGTCCCTGACCCTGGTCAGGGTCATGCAGGAGGCAACCAATTGATATGTCTATCTCATATCAATGTTTCTCTCTCTAGCTCTCTCTCCCCCTCCCACTCTATCTGAAGATAAATGGAAAAAATATCCTCGGGTGAGGATTTAAAAAAAACAAACCCTAAACTATTAACAAAGATATCTAGTTTAAAAGTAAAATAATAGTACAAAAGTAACCACTTACAAAAATGGTTTCCAGGTCCAGGGTAATGATGTCCTTTGTAAGCAGCCATCAGTCCTGGGTTTATGCCAATCTAAAAGAAAAGTGTATACATTTTAGTAGGGTTTAAGCCGTAGGCCTTCTGTGAAGGAGTGGTGGATAACACTGAATGTATTAAAATAAAAATTTAATCTGGCATCATAAGCAGTATCGTTTAGCAATGACCTACTCTTGCTCTGAGCAGGGTATTCCATTATGAGGAAAGAAATTTCCCTTTATATTGAAAGTTTAGTTGTTATATTTAAAAACCAGTTTGATTCCCTCATATCTCCAGGTCCTCACCCCCACCCAACTGGGCTGGAAAGAAAGAGGTTCTGGAGCAATGAGTCAATCTGAGCCCAGGACCAGCCACAAGTCTGCTTCTCAAGTCCCAACAAGCAGCTTGCGCCATGGCATCCACACAGCTGTTCACATGCTGCTGGTTTCTTACAATTAACAGACAAAAGTCAAAGTTCAAAATCAGTGCTACTGTTTATGGAGAACTCATAGATGTCATGCAATCTAATTGAGTTACAGGGATTATTTAATTTAATTGCAACCTCTGAGGGAGATACTATTATCACCTTTGTTTCACCAAGGAGGAAACTGGTGTTCAGAAAGATCAGGGCTTGTCTAGGGTCGTACTCATGTGGCAGGATTGGACACCAGACAGCCCACCAAAAGGATTCTTAGAAACAGTTCTTTTCAGCAAAATTATTAGCACAGATAAAGGTTACGCTAATACACCAATGCTATAACTTATAAAACCAAATGAAGACAAAAGCCCTTACAATCACAATATCCAGATTGAAGGTCAAAATGTCTGGGAGTGTCTTGGTCAAAAGTTCGGCTTCTGAAACACCATTAAAACGGTCAACTTTTCTCTTCACTTTAAATGTGTCTGTAATTTTTTCTTGCTTTTCTTTTGATTTTGTGGACTTGGCAGATTTTTTGGCCTCGGCAGGTTTTTTGGCCTCGGCAGGTTTTTTGGGTTCCACTGGTTTTTTTGGTTGTGTTGTTCTGGGTTTTCTTTTCCTTCCTTTTGGAGGCTCTGAAACACAATGGTTTCCAGGATGTGACACAGAAAATCATAATTACAAACTTTAGGCAGCTTTCCTAGAAAAGTCACCCTATCAACATCCTTTTAGCTTTGTCTTCTATTTCCCAGCATCAGCTCCTCTATAATGTCTTCCCCTTGTTTCACCCTAGAACTGGGTTGACATGGCCCCATCCCCTACTCTCCTTCTTCTGCTGGCTGTTCTTGCGATGACACTTCCATAATAATCACAGACTGATTTTCCATGCAATTTTACCTGGCATCTTTGCCTCTCCATGGATACAAAGTATCTATGTACTACTTTATAGGAATTCTAAATTAAATACATAAATAGTTAAGTAAACAAATAAAAGAATAAGTAGATAGCAAAACAGGAAGAAAGTGAAACATTTTTAACTCAGTTTCCCCTAACTCCAGCAGTAGAAAGCCTCAAATGGCTTGTGGGCTTATTTTAGAGATGATGAGTGTATATTCTGTTCCACACATAGCCAAAGAGGTGAATTCAGAGGTGCTGAGGATGAAATCTCTGGCTGACAGTGTGAATCTGATCTCAGGACCTAAAGCTGAGTATCTGTCTCAGCACTACTGACATCTTAAACTGAGTAATTTTTGGTTGTGGCGGCCTGTTCTGAATATTATAGAATGACTAACATTCTATACTCAACAGCAATCTTGGCCTCTGTCCACTAGATGCCAGTAGCACCCTGCCAGTCATGACAATCAAAGGTGTCTGCAGACAATGACAAATGTTCCTATGAGGCAAATCACCCCTGGTCATGAACCACTGTCCTAAAGTATCCAACAGGAAGCCTTGGTTTTCTTACCCTTAGTTCTTTAATATCTCTCTTATTATTTCTCAGGCTCCTCCCCCATTCTACTACTATTTGGTGTTTCTCCACCCTAGCCTCCTGTCCTTTTTTCTACCTCTCTCTGCCTTAGCCATCCCTATGCCAAGGGATCCACCTCCACCAGCTTGTAGCTGGGGAAGTCCTAGTGCGGCCTGCCCAGAAAAACAGGAGTCAACAGCAGGGGTATCGCCAATGTAGTGGAGTTAGATGAGTTCCTGGAATCATGAACTGGAACTCCGAATACATTTTTCATACGATACTGCTACACTGGAGAAAATCATTACCCTCTCATCCCCCCAACCCCCAAATCTATTCTCTTTTAATTCTCTATCTTGGTGAATAGTACCTCCTTCATCTAACTGCCCGGGAGTTACCCCCAGATTCCTCTTTCTCTCTCGTCCCCCCATGACATTATTTACCATGGCCAGGTAATTCTGCCTCCTTCACCACCCCCACCCCTTCAGGTCCTCCTTATTTCGTCCCCAGATTATTCAGAGTCTCTAATCTACTCCTCGCCCCCAAATTCTGCTTGCTCTCTACCACCCAATCTACCCTCTGGAATACTTCCAGGCTGGTATTTTAAATGCCATTATCCTTAGGTCACTCTGCTTACGTTCTCTCAACAGCTCCCTCCTGCCTTCAGGATAGGATATACAAGCCTCCTGGTTCCCTATCCAGCCTCATCTCTCACCATTCCTTGGCTATACCCCAGACTCCAATGACACAGAATCACTATTTTTTAACTGTCCCGCTTCTCCTTGTCTGTGCTTTGTGCATGCTTCTCCCCAGGCCTGACATTCTCCCCGGCCCATTCTTCATGGGGCTAAAGTCTCCTCACCCTTGAGGTTCTGAGCGCTGAGAAGCTGCCTCTGAGCCTCGGTCTGAGTTAGGTGCCCACCTGTGACCTCACAGAAGCCTGTGCCCCTCTTCACTGCGCTGTGTGCTGAGGGATGGCGTCCATGTGTTTGCTTGCTATTTTTCCCTCCTGGATGATGAGATATTCCAGGGCACGATCCATGTTCTTTGATCCCCCCAAACCTATCACAGTGCCTGGCACATACTAAGAACTTAAAAAATGGGTTAAAAACTTTAACACTATTTTAGTCATCATCAATCCCTTCCTTAAACAAGCTGGTGACTCCAACAGCTAAATTCCTACACCATCCTGGTGCAAACTACCTTGTGCAGGTTCCTGAGCGGGGGCCAGCTCTGGGACTTCCGCGGGCGGGGGCTGTGCATCCGCCGCTTCCACGTGGGGAGCTTCGGCCATCATGTGTGGGAATGGAAATGTATAAAAAGCTTGAGCTTGCTGAAGGGAATAGCTGAAAGAACAATGACATGTAAGAAGGTAAAATGACCCAAATGGAAGTTTAAATGATCAGCTGTAACTTTTCAGGATCCAAGTATTCTGAAACCAGACTGTAGCATGTATTTAGAGTTGACAACAGGTGTGAAGTGAGGAGGAAGGTCTAGTCTCATCTGTACACATTCACCCAACCTTTACTCAGTGCCTAATAACCAAACATTAATTCCTTCTCACACCGCTTAATGACAAGATGTGTCACCAATAAAACTTACCAGTCCTGTCGAGTCAGCCTGCACTTTCTCTGCAATGAGATCATGGGACTCTTCTAGTAGGGAGACATGAAAGGCCCACTCGTCCGTACAGGAACACAGAAACAATTTGTGCTCCTACCTTCAGTGTTTAATCCTCTCGCCCCAAAGCTTCCCTCCAATCTAACCCTTCCCCAGCCTAACCCCTCCACCTCAGTTTTGAGATAAAACTGACATATAATGTTGTGTAAGTCAAAGGTGTACAATATGTTGAATGATACACTTACATATAGGGTGGGGCAAAAGTAGGTTTGCAGTTGTGAGTAGCAAAATACAGTTTATTCTTGTATTATTATTAATTATTGTATTATTTTCCATGGAATAACTGTAAACCTACTCCCCCCCCTATATTATAAAGTGATTATTACCATAGCCATAACTACACCTCCATCATCTCACATAATTACCACACTTAGTTTTTGTGGTGAGAATATTTAAGATCTATTCACTTAGCAACTTTCAAGTAAATAATAGCATGGTGATTCTGTCCATTAGTCCCTAGAATTTGTCCATGTTTTTTTAAATTTCTTGAATTTATTGGATTGACATTGGTAAATAAAATTGTATAAGTTTCAGATATAAAATTCTATAATACATCAGTGGCATATTATAGTGTGTTCACCACCCCAAGTCTCCTATCAACACGTATCTGCCCTTTACCCTCTTCTATGTGGAAGTTTGTACCCTTTGGCCAACATCTCCCCATTCCCACCCCTCCTCCAATCTAATTTTAAGTTCTTTTGGTTTATTTGCCTGTTCACTTACTTATTCAGAATTTGTTATTATTTTTTTATTAATTTATTTTTGTTACAGATGTTTCTTTCCACCCCATGGACACCCTTCTGCTGATCCCGCTCCCTGCTCCTCACAGCATTGCAGGATTTGTTTTATAATTGTTGCTGGTTTTTGCTTTTCTGCCACTAAATGAGAACTAGAAATGAATATTTTGTAAATGTCTATGAATTTATGGGGGAAAAAACACTCTAGATCTTTCTTCTCTACATGAGTTAAACTTTGTTCAAAGTGTTCTGTTCAGTGTAAGGAACAGAGGCCTTCACAGTAAACAATTTCCCAAAAATATTTCTGATGACAATAAACCACTATTTCAAGCTGTTGCCACCAGCACAAAGCTAGGGAAGTAAACACATTTTATGAAACTCAAGTTATGCTAACGCCAAATGATGCCATATGATATACAGTAGGGAGAAAAACACTAGGAAATAAAGTGGATGAGTGCCACGTACTATTTAGGAGAGAAAAGTCGTATGTTCTGTGGCAAGATACTCTACTTACTAGTTTTCTTTCTCTTTGCATGTGGAGAAAGAAGACAGGGAGCTCAGAAAGCAAAATTTAAGAGGCAAATTAGTTATACTTTAAGTGGGTCAACTTTATACTATTCAAATTATCTTAATAAAATGGTTGTAAGAGGAGGCAAACTAAAGCATTCCCTGGAAAAGTATAACAGGCTGGCACAGACACAAGGTAAGGTCTACCCATGAGTGGCTGGGCTAGAATGTTAAGATTAGCAAAGAAAAACAGAGGCTCAATCCCATTTTTCCAATGGATAAACCACTGAAGAGGCATTTTAATGTCAAGCTATCTTTCAGGATAAACTGATTTTAAAAGACTAAGAATTAGTGCCCTGGCCAGTGTGGCTCAGTGGACTGAGCGTCATCCCATGCACTGAGAGCTCTTGGGTTCGATTCCTGGTCAGGGGGTTTTGGGTTCCTTCCCCTTTAGGGGGTGTGCAGGAGGCCGTGGATAGATGTTTCTGTCTTATCAATGTTTCTATCTCTCTCTCCCTCTCCCTTCCTCTCTCTCCCTAAAAAAAAAAAGTCAATAGAAACATATTTTAAAAAGTAAAAAGGTTAAGAATTAGTAAGAAAGATATTAAACTAGCCCAGCAGGTGTGGCTCAATGGTTGAGCACTGACCCATGCACCAAGAGGTCACTGGTTTGATTCTGGGTCAGGGCACATGTCTGGGTTGCAGGCTTAATTCCCAGTAGGAGGTGTGTAGGAGGCAGCCAATCAAAGTTTTTATCTCTCTCTCTCCCTTCCTCCCGCTCTAAAAAAAATCAATAAAAACATATATATTTTTTAAAAAAGATACTAAACTACATCTTTAGAATTTTATTTCTTGCCTGGCTGGTATGGCTCAGTGGTTGAACATCAACCCATGCACCGAGAGGTCGCCGGTTCGATTCCCAGTCAGGGCACATGCCCAGGTTGTGGGCCCAATCCCTAGTTGGGGGCATGCAGGAGGCAACCAATTGATGTTCTCTCTCATCAATGTTTCTATCTCTCTCTCCCTCTCCCTTCCTCTCTCTCTAAAATCAATAAAGAAAAAAAAAATTTTTTTAAGAATTTTATTTCTTTGCCCTGGCAGGTTTGGCTCAGTGGTTGGCGTGTCAGCCTGCAGACCAGAGAGTCCTGGGTTCGGTTCCTGCTAGGGGCACGTACCAAAAAAAGAAAAAAAAAAAGAATTTTATTTCTTTAACTATATTGTCTCAAATTATGCTAAAGAAAAAAAATACGATACAATGACTTAGGAAACATAAGAGTATACTATGCAGCTCCTAAAAAAGTAAATGTACTGATATTCTGTAAAAGCACAGAAAATGTCTGATATGCTTTAAAGTAGAAAAGAATACAAAACAGTACTGCAAACTAAGGCCACACACAGGGAAAACATGTAGCCAAGGACTAGAAGTCAAATGTAAAAATGAAGAGAAGTGAAGCACTTAAATTGCACCAGGCACAAAGTAAGATGTCCTCTCTTTCACTTTCCTTTAATACTATTTGTAACTCCTTTCATAAATTGTCAAAACATTGGCTGTTCAATTTATGATTTCAATATTCTAATGAGAAGTTGGGTAAAGCTAGGCTACCTTGGGAAATCATGTGCAATTTACTCTCTGGAAATTGTACTAAAATAAACTACAACTTTTGGCTGCGGCCAGTGGCAGCTTCCAAGAGGCTAACAGGTCCTTTCAGCTGGAATATATAAAAGGGCAGACATGTGGTCACAATAAACGAGTGGCCAAAGAATGCACGAGGTCTGTTCTTAGTCTGTCACCGCCAGGAAGGCAACCTATCACCCTCCCTCCCCCATGCTTCTTACTACCACTCTCAGAGTTCAGTAGATGTGTTCTATTTTGAGTACTTCACAAAAATCCAAACTTAAGCTCTGGCTAGATAGCTCAGTTGGTTTTAATGTTGTCCCAATATGCCAAGGTTGTGGGTTCGATCCCCGGTCAAGGCACATATAAGAATCAACTAACGAATGCATGAATAAGTGGAACAAATAGATGTTTCTCTCTCTTTCCCTTCCTCTCTCTCTCTAAAATCAATAAATAAAAACTTTAAAAAATAATAAATTATTCAAATTTAAAACACATAAAAATTAGGGAGACACCCTTCACATTATAAAAGGACTCTGAACTTTAAAAAATAAATTTCCAAAACGTGGCTCCCTTAGCATATTTGGGGGGGTCATTAAGAATCTTCAGCCCTGGCTGGTTTGGCTCAGCAGTTAGAGCGTCAGCCTGCGGTCCTGAGAGACCCCGGTTCGGTTCCCGCTAAGGGCGCGTACCTCGGTTGCAGTTTGTCCCCGGCCCTGGTCGGTTGTGCGGGTGGCAGCCACTCGATGTGTTCCCTTCACGTCGATGTTTCTCTCTCTCTCTGTTCCTCTCTCTCCCTCCCACTCTACCTGAACAAAAATGGAAAAATGTCCTCGGGTGAGGATAAAAAAAAAAAAAAAGAATCTTCAGAAATTCTGGGGCTTGGAAGTTGAAAATTAATATTTTCAAAATCAGTTGACGAAAGTGAAAAATATTGAAGAAAAATACTGGGAGTTTTATTTTCTATATCAATTTTGAAAGAAATCCAGAAACTTATCTAGAATATTGATGTGTCCCTTAATCTTCTAAAAATGATTTCTTGCACTTACGGTAAGTTAAATTAGAACAGAAAGAAAAATAAGCTATGGAAAACAGAATGTGTAAATTCTGCAGTAACATACTATCTTTGAGTATTCAAATTAACCTGCCCTCTTACAGTTTCTAACAACCAGAACAAAAGGAAAGAGGGTGGATTACAACAGTCATATTAGTTGGCAGAAAAAAGCATGACATCTGTACAAAAACCTTCATAGATTTGAATGCTACAGTTCTGGGTAATCTCATTTTTTAATCTAATAATAGTTAAATTTGTAAGCAGCATAAACTTCTTTCATCCTTAATGTTAAAATATTTCTTAAATACATTTGTTGTATTTATATATGGTCAGTGCCACTTCATAAATCAGAATTCTTCAGTGTTTATGAACAATAATGGTCTCTGAGCTTACTCAAGTCATTCATCCTCGCAAGAGCTCAGCTCTTTCACCATGAAAATGACAGGTACGATCTGGTGACTTCTACACATACGGAAAATGTGTAGAAAACAGGAGCAAATCTGTCCAAACTCCAGACACATCCCAAAGAGTTTTTATTTTCTATAGCTCCCTGATATCACTTATAAGTATGAATGACTTTATTTTCCCTTGTTCACTTTTCCTTATCATTTATGTTCGTGCCCATCTGTTGGGTGCCACTGCCTCCTTTTCCTGCCGCTAACCCCCTGCTCTCTCCTAGCCTCCATGTACGTGCCTTCTCTTGAACAGCAGTGCTCAAAGGGTTGGTTTTTACAGCTGTCTGAAATTGATAAA